AGGGTAGAAATAGTTTAGTAAATGGTTGGTGTCACAAGGTTTCTGAGATTTTACTATTTGGTACGATTATCACTGTCATTAAGGGTTCTTTTTGGAATAAATGGCAAAGCGCCTTGGTAATGGGCAAGAATACCACTTATGCATGAGTCCAGGGTACACAGATGGTTGTCTTATTATGTACATAAAAATCCTCAGTAAAAGAGGTCCTTGTTCTTAGGACACCATTAAGGAGAAAACAGACTGTGCTTCTACCAAATCAGAGGGCATTTCAAATGAAGGTATTTTGAGAAAGCAGATCCTGATCTTTACCGGATTGTGTTTGCCTGGGAATCTCAGACGAGGGGCACCCAGGAGACATAAAATGGGCTTGTGGCCCTCAGGGGCTCTGGCTGCCTCTCCCTCCCCACAGTGGCCCAGCTCCCTCCGTGGGGAGACAGCGGGGTGAAGCATCAGGACAGCTGGATGGGGTAAATCTCTGTTCCGTGTTTCATAGGCCAGAGTTTCTTCAACCAGCTGAGGACTCCTTGGCCATAAGACATATTTGAAAATGTTTACCACTGAGAGCTACTGCAAGGTTTCGATGAGAGAATATGTCTTCGTTCAGCAAATGGTTCTTTTTTTTTTAAATTTTTATTTATTTATGATAGTCACACACACAGAGAGAGAGAGAGTGGCAGAGACACAGGCAGAGGGAGAAGCAGGCTCCATGTACCGGGAGCCCGACGTGGGATTCGATCCCGGGTCTCCAGGATCGCGCCCTGGGCCAAAGGCAGGCGCCAAACCGCTGCGCCACCCAGGGATCCCAGCAAATGGTTCTTGTGTGACTGACGAGTCCATGCCTGAGATACCCCAGGGAGCAAGGCCAGGCCCCTTGAGGGCCTTGGAAGTGGACTTTACAAGGCTTGTTTGGTGGGGGCTCTGGCAGTGGCAGCTTGGGTGGTGTAGCAGCTCATGGGAAGTAGGGTCCCAGACTATGGCTTATAACAAGGGACAGTTCCCTACTAGGAACCCCATGCCCCTGGCTTCCTTCCTGCCCACCACTCTGAATTCCCTAGGATCTCCCCCCACCTCGGTCCCAAGGCTGGATTATGTAGCATCAGAACAGACACCCCGAGAGGTTTGTGTGTGTGTGTGTCTGTGTGTGTGTCTGTGAGCATGTGGTATGTACACGTATTTTAAGTCATTTGCTTCCACCCCTCAATACTACCCCTGTCTATTAACAAAATGAGGGGGAGAAATCGAGAAAGAGAGAGAGAGATACGGAAACACAGAGAGAGATTGGGAGAGAACCAAAAATAGAGATTTCCAGAAAGGGAAGAAACTTAGATTCCTCTCCCCAACCCGCTCTCACCCCCAGCAAGAAAACCCCCTCTGGGATTAAACTGTATGTGGAGATGAGAGGTGTGGAAGAGGCTAAAGGAGAAACTTTGTCACATCAGGAGCAGGAGGAAGCACAAAGTCTACACGTGGACACCAGAAATGACAATTACCGTACACACAGGGAGCCAGGCCATCAGAGGAAGAGAAGTCAGGCAGGGAGCCCTGAGTCAAAGGGGAGTCTCGCAACCAGACACAGTAATGCCCTTCCCAGCACCACCCAGGAGGCAGTGGGAATGCTTGGACCGACGGACACACCCCACCTAGCCTGACCCTGGGAGTTCGCGTGTTCCCTTTGGTGGAGAAAATGTATAATGCCCGAGGCCTCTGCTTGTGGCACCTCTTGCTTTTTTTTTTTTTTTAAAGATTTCATTTATTTATTTATTCATGAGACACACACATATACACACACACACACACAGAGAGAGAGAGAGAGAGAGAGAGAGAGAGAGAGAGAGAGAGAGAGAAGCAGAGACACAGGCAGAAGCAGGCTCCATGCAGAGAGCCCAACGTGGGACTTGATCCACCGTCTCCAGGATCACGCCCTGGGCTGAAGGCGGCACCAACCCTCTGAGCCACCGGGACTACCCGGCACCACTGGCTTTGTGTCTCAAAGGGCAGAGTCTTGTCTCACCTTCTACAACAGGTGGAGAAGGGACTGTCCATGCAGGTGGCTGTCCCTGCCCGACTCCCTTGCTGTCTCAAGGGACGAGGGCACAGAAAACCCCTGGGTCTCTTGCTGGAAGTGTGACCAATTTTGAACTCTTTGCCACCCCCAATCTTGTAGAAGGTTGAATGAAAAAACTCTTCTAGCCCCCATTTTCTAAAGAAAGTCTGAAATTGATCTTCATCTCTGCATTAAATTGGCGCCTCACGCAGCGTGAGGGCCTGTGCACCCTGTATTAACCACCGCCTTCGGGCACACCCTCCCCTACTTGCGCCCTGGGATTGCATTTCCTCAACTCTTTCGGGAGATGAAATCAGCCTACATGGAGAAACAGCGTAAGGGACCACCCTACAAAACTTGTTGCTGGCGGGGTTTAGTGTAAGGACAGCGTTTCATTTCAGCCTGGACGTCCTCTCTATGAGGATCCAGAGGCCAAATTTCCCTCTAGTCTCAGCATCCTGAGCAACACAGTCATTTTATTGACGGAGCACTTGATTTTTTATGTGGTAGAATTTGACATCTTGTATGGTTGCTTGAAAGCTTAGAACCACATGGCATTTATTTTCTGCACCAACCTCACCTCTGGTTTTAGAATTTTTGTCTTCATTTCTCTTGGCGTCATCTTTTCATTTCTCATTTTTTTATTGGTTTTATTTTGCCAAGGTGTATGTATCTTTACAAGCTGCCCTAAATCTTTTGATGAACAAAACCAGAGGTGACTAAAGGATCCACAACCCCTATGTTCCACTTACCTAATGATATCATGACGGTGATCTGGCTTTCCACAGAGTTATAATAAGGCACTTGTCAGAGAGCTCAAGGATCTCGCCTGGCAAATTGAGTTCTTACTGCACGTTGGCAAATTAACACTGGGTTCACGTAATAACCTCTTATGGGCTTAGTGAGTGTGTGTCCCTCCCTGAGAATGCTCACCTTGCACCATTTAGGCTGGCCACTGCCGCACTCTAGACATATTAGTCCTCCTCAACTCCCTGGAACAAGGCAAACTCTTTCCTATCTCAAGGACTCTGCACATACAATTGCCTCTGCTTGGAAGGTCCTTCCTCCTACTCTCTCCAGGCCTCTCCTCATTATTAGAGTAGTAGCGGCATGTTAGGCTGATGGGGGCCGGGGGTGGGGGGAGGGAGGCATATTGACACCCAGGCTCCAACCCAGACAAATTAAACTAGAATCTCTAGGGGTGGAGTCTAGGCACTGCTAGTTTTTAAAAACTTCCCAGATGATTCTAATTTTTAGCTGGGGCTGAGAATCATGGTTGCAGGTCTCGGCTTAAATTTAAGTTAGCTTCTCAAAGAGGCCCTCCTGCACTGCTTGTAGGACATAGAGATTGTCTTGCTGTTTAGCTTAGTTTCTTCTCTGCTTCCTTTGTAATAATCATTACAATCTGTAATTATTGCATTTATTTGAATGGTTTAATTTGTCTAGCCTCCACCCCCACTCCCTGCCTTCTGCCCCCCCCCCCAGTTGTCCCCCGCCAACTAGGACATAGGTGCTGTGAGGACAGCAAATATATCTGTCTTGGTCTCTGTGCTTTTTCTCCAGTGTACAGTGTCAGACGCATAACAGTTTCCTGAATTTACAATGACGAGGATAAAAAAAAAATGACGAGGATAATCCTCAAATGATGCTACTGGTCTGCGGGGTCTCCTGGAAGTCAGTGAGGCTCCTCGGAATATTATGAGAGAATCTACATCAATGCTCAGGGGCTATTTTAACTGGTAAACGGTTGCATACACTTTCCATTGACCTGACTCCTGTGTCCCAGGATTTTTCCAGTGAGATCTATAAATAAATCCTGATTCAGAGCACCTCCCTTGTGTGCATGTCCTTCTCCTTCCCTTGATCTTAACCATTCTGAGTGAGAGATGCCACCTTGCTGATCTCTGTGTTCTCACCTACTTGAGCACCCGGCACCAAATCCTACACACAGTACTGGCTCTACAGGTAGCTGTTGACTTGAATGGAGTTTGCTTTATCTTCATGGCACATAGATATTTTGACTAAGATTTTCACTAAGATTTCAAGGATTTGAGGCATGGGGCATTGTGAGCATATCATGAAAGTTAAATTTGTTGGTCTAGGCAACTTCACCATAATCTTTTTTTTTAATTTTATTTATTTATGATAGTCACAGAGAGAGAGAGAGAGAGGCAGAGACATAGGCAGAGGGAGAAGCGGGCTCCATGCACTGGGAGCCCGATGTGGGATTCGATCCTGGGTCTCCAGGATCGCACCCTGGGCCAAAGGCAGGCGCCAAACCGCTGCACCACCCAGGGATCCAACTTCACCATAATCTACATGCAGATGGTCTCTACACACCTGGATTGCACAAAAGGAAAAAAAAAAGTAAATTTGTGTTTGGAGGCAAATAATGAAACTGTGAGGAGTCTGAAAACAACTCAGTCACCTACCTCACAACACAGGTGCTGGTCCAAAAAAGGGTGAATTCCTGGTGGTGCTGCTTGAGCTCTCACTCTGGCTGAGTCAGTTCTTTCTGAATTATTGTTTGATAGTTATTAATAAATCAAAGAAAAACAAACCATCCACCTACTGTTTTCCCTCCATAGTTGGTATGTTCCCCAAGTTGATGTGTATGTTCTAAGGTGCTTTTTTCCCCTAAGTTGAAATTAACTAAGACCAGTTAGAGAGGTGGACACTTTTTTTTTTTCCCTTTTTTCTGCTTTCTTTCACTTCCTTAAGGAATCATCTGGATTTTTCATTCTTCCTTTCCTCAGTTTTACATTGGTGATTTGTTGGTGGGAAATGGAGGGGCCTCTTATTTCGGCAAGTTTTCATATTGTCATGGAGAGAAATGCACGTGCGAATGCGCACACACACACACACACACACACACACACACACACGGGTAAACCCACACAAATGAAATCCCCTCTTCAGAGAAGCCAGCTACAGGAAATTGACTTATGCACAGGAACTTGCTAATCTCGCTCGTCACATTCTGATGGTTTCTGCCACCTCAGTCACCGAGCACACTAAACTCAACCATCTTGGGTTGAATTCTCTTCCAGCTCACCTCTTATATTTTTAGTTCTTCTAAAGTGTAACAGTTATATTCTTGGGGAGGAAGAAAAAGTTGATCCCAGAAGGAAATCATAACAGTAAAAGGGCTTGGACAGCTTTTACGTTTACTTACCTGCACTGAACAAATTGACATCCGGAGTCAGTCATTTTTGTGTCAAGAAACATCTTCGGCATTCTACAACAGGTAAGGCTTTGGCTTCTTTAAAAATACTTTCTTCTTTAAAAATATTTTGCTTCTTTAAAAATTTTCCTTCTTTAAAAAGAAAGCTCTCCAGTGTATTTAGTTTTTACTCTGGGCTAAACACAGTAATTATCTTGTGCTACCTGTTGTAAAGTATGAAACCATATTAAGGAGGGAAGGGGACTTGCTCTGGTATCCAACTCTCCCCCCACCCCCGCCATGCTAACAACATGCATATAGTTTTTTCAATGTTACAAGTTATAATAGTTGGCTTTTGCTTTTTTCAGATATTCTCCTAGAGAATCCAAATGCTTGTGACTGACTGTAACTGAATTCAAATATTTGGGTAGTTTAAATATCACCCTATGCTTGAGAAGTAAATGTAAAGATCCTTTCAGTTATACAAATAAGAGTTTTAAAATTTTCTAAATCAGAAAAGAAACCAGCCAAAATCCTGATGATGAGGATTTGGATCTGGGATACCTAGTTCGTCTGTTTCACCTATGGACAATACTCAAATCCTCTTTCTACAAGTGGTATATGATGCATAAGGATTTATTTTTAAGTTAAATTAAGTTTTTGAGGGGATTTGATTCAGAGACATGCTGTGAGGTATCATCCATAGCCTGGGTTATATAGCTAAATAAAGCTAGAGAAACCACTAGTTTTAGGAGCTTTTCCTAAGTTAAAGCTGCCACTGAAATATTTCAAACAAGCAACAAATAGTCAATAATCACTTATTGATTCCAAGCTACTGCTGTGGACGATATAAAAGAAATATGAGGAATTCTCTACCCGAAGGAACTTAGAGTCTACTAACTGTGGTGAGAAGTAAAATTTAGGAAGCAGTGCAAGATGAGAACTGAGTGAATACTGGGATGATGTGGGCTGTAAGTTATAGGAGTTCCAAGAAGAGGGTTTGAGGGTAAGCTAGAGTGGGCCTGGAAGACCTGGCCTTGGAAGGACATGAGATTTGAGCAGGTGGAGAAAGGGGAGATTAATTCAACAAGAGGACTGTATGGGTAAAGGCACAAAGGTGATATCGACGGGATGAGCAGTCCAGTTGAGGAGACTGGCCCCCAAAAGAAGAAAGTTTATTTTTACACATTTTCAGGAAATAAGCTTGGAAAATTCAGATGTAGATGGGTTACAGAGGACTCTGAGAGGCTGCGGAGCAGAACAGATGCCTTTCAATAGCGTTCTGGTCTTTTTATGCCATCAGGTTCCTCTCCTCAGCTTTCATAGCTCGCACAGAATTCTAGGTGACAGGGAGCCCAGAGATCCTTGCCGCTTCATGTTGGGGCTACTTTATTCATCTCCATGTGTGTGATCTTCCACTTGCCTTCCCCCCACTGTCTTCCCTTACTACACCATTTATATGGAGAAAAGTTTGTGTGGCTGGGGGCTCCTGTGACCTCCACTTCTGGTTATTACATGTCAATCACCCAGTATTAAAGTGGCCTTCCTCTTGGGAGGATGAGTTGGTTGACAGAGCGAGTTTCTAGTCTTCAAAAGCCAGTCCAAAAATTCCACGAAATATGTGTTGTTTCCTTTGCATATCTGAATGAAATGTTATAGATTAGCTGGTACTTTTTAACCTGAACTGTGAAAACTTTGCATCCATCTAATAACAAAAATACAGTCTAGTGAACCAGAACCCAGACTTTGGAGCCAGATTACTTTGTGTTGAATCCGGTACTGTTGCTTCTGAGCTGTAGGAACCTCAGACACACATTCTTCAATCCTCAGATTAAAAGCAAGTATTTGTAAAGTAGCTCTAATAACTGAAAATACCTATGTCAGAGTTGTTGTAAGGATAAAATTGAGATAAAAAATATGTAAAGCATTTAGCCTAGTGCCAGGTATAAAATAAACTGTCAAGAAATGCAGCTATTGTAATTGTTATTAAGGACTTGGTGGGGATACGAGAGTGAAGATGATATGGTCCCTGGTTGGGAACAAGGTATCTGTAAAGGGACTCTTTTAATGCCAGTGTTCCTTTCAAAGGAAAATGGGGCTAATGGATGAAAGCTGGAAATTAATGTTTTTTGACCCCTAAGTATGGAATAAGCACATGGCTGGCTATTTTATAGTAATAATATATATGAAAAAAGGAAAACAAGAAGAGAAACTGATTTTTTAAGCCTTTCCATGTCTGGTTGTTGGACTTAAAAGACAACTCTCTTAGTCACTGCTGTGTTAATTGTGAACATCTGGGCCTGAGATTGCTCCCTGAATGCTTTGGGTGGAATTTTAGAGGCGTTTTTGGCATTAGGGGCAGAGGGTGGCTCTTCTTTGTCCAACTTATATTAAATTATTTAATTTTATGGTATTTTAGTTTTTGTGCTAGCAAGGCATAGCCAAAAATCTATTTCTATTCATTGACTATTTTGACAAAGAGTGCCCAAAGTGCTTATATGGGTTCTAGATGCTTGGGTTTTGGGTGACCCAGGATTGAAAAGCATCCTGCTTTCCTGTTTCACTCTCCAGACTAGAGATTTTTTTGGGATAGTAAGCATCCCATGAAAAAAAATGCAAATATGGTCAATATGCTCATTATACAGGGGTTTCTAAATTATATGTACAGATTACCTTGGTCAAATAGTAATATTGTTTCCCTTCTAGAGTCCTACTAGTAACAGAAGGGAGGAAAGTTTGGGGCTTTGTGTATGCGAAGGAGTGAGCCCAAGTCTGGATGGGGTGCCAAAGTGGAGCATGACAGAAGGCAGCATGATGGTAGAGGGTGCTGGGGTGGGCAGTACAACCAAGGAGGGTGTCCAAGAGGCAGGTGGATAGGTGCCAGAAACAAAGTCTCCTCCTATGTGGCTCTTTAGTCATTTAACTCAAGCAGCTGCTTGAAACTTCGCAGAACCTCTTGGTGCCTTGCATACGAACATGTACTATTCCCTGGATATGAACAGTTGTTCAGAGATGATTTGTTTTATTTGGTTCTGGCCTGGAATCATAGGTCCTAAAGCTGGCTGGACATCAAAACCACTTGGGGGAGTTTTTAAAAACTAGTAATTCTCATGTATCGCATCACAGCCCTGGGATTTGGTCCAAGAATCTGTGATAATCAGTACAAACCCTTTCCCCCAGGTGACTTGGAGGCAGTTGTTCTATAGGTGAGCATTTGAAAGTCATTTATCCAGAACTCTTTTATCAAGATGCCAAGCACCAAGATGGTAAGTTTAGTTAGTCCTGAAATGAGGCAAAATGATCTCTTTGTTGTGATTAATATCAACATACAAAAGTATTTTCCTTTTTTTTTTTTTTTAAGATTTCATTTATTTACTCATGAGAGACACAGAGAGAGGGAGAGACATAGGCAGAGGGAGAAGCAGGCTTCCTGCAGGGAGCCTGATGCAGGACTGGATCGCAGGATCCCAGGATTATGCCCTGAACCAACGGCAGATGTTCAACCACTGAGCCACCCAGGTGCCTCTTTGTTTTGAATTTATTTCTTAGGAGAATCCTAAGGGTGAGATGACTGAGTTAAAGGTGTGAGCATATTTAGAGTTTTCATCCACCATATTTACATTTTAACACTCAAGCGGTAGGGCGCCACTTAAAAACTTCTGTTATATACATGTAGAGGCTGTTCATTATTACTCAGGGAAACCCAAAGAAAAGAATTTGCTCTCAAGCGAGAAAGTGCCAAATCACCCATTTCTCTTTTCCAGTAAAACAGAATACTAATGAATTACTTTTGGAAGAAAATTTCAAAACATTACAGAACACTCAATTGCTTCTTAGAGTGTAAGTTGGAGCCTTCTTATCTCTATACTTAGTTTCTTGTAACACTGTAGTCAGCAGTGACCTCTTCCCCATTTCGTAGAAAAGAAAACCAAGGAAGAGAGTGGTTAAGTAACAGGCAGTACGGTTCTCATCATGTTTGCCAAGAGAACTGCGTATAGTCAGCCACTCAGTCATTGTTTGAGTTAGTAAATAATTGAGTAGTTGTTGTAGGTGACCCCGTTAAAAAACCACTAGTGAATAAGTGCATGAAGAGAGTATTGTCCAAATTGGGGGAGGGTGAGTGGAATTAATTGCCTCAGATAGACCTCCTGCTCTCTCTCTCTCTCTCTTTTTTTTTTTGCATTATGCTTTATTCATTATATATTTGTATAACTTGCTAACTTGAAAGCATGGTTATTATTTGTGACAACAGATGGGAATAGGAGGAATTTCAATGGTTTCAGTTAAAAAAAAATAAGACGTGCTCTTGCAAGTGAAATATTTGTAGTGGTGTGCAGGAGCCTGCCTGTACTTATTTGCAAGAGCCAAATGTAATATTTCCAGAAATTTTGCAATTTTGTTAAACACAGTTGCCATTAAAAATTAAATTCTATAACTTACAGTTAAATAAGTTATGTTAAAAATAAAGGTAATAAATACTCAAAATTTATTACTTCCTAGTTCTTTACTACATTTTACTATTGCCAGTGTTCTTTTTTTTTTTTTTTAAGATTTTATTTATTTATTCATGAGAGATGCAGAGAGAGAGAGAGAGAGAGAGAGGCAGAGACACAGGCAGAGGAAGAAGCAGGCTCCACGCAGGGAGCTGGACATGGGACTCAATCCGGGGTCTCCAGATCACACCTTCGGCTGAAGGCGGCGCTAAACCACCGAGCCACCGGGGCTGCCCTATTATCAATGTTCTTGAGCTTATTTCCATTTATCTGTTTGATAGAAACATTATATAATAGTGTGCTACTGAGCATCTCTTTCCAACTCGCATTCAAGTTTGTAGCTTGAAACTGGCCATTATAGGAATATTTACACCAAGGAAATTGGCAAACACTATAAATCAGGCTCCCTACACTTTTTTGAGGAGAGGCTATTAAACATTTTATCAGTATACCACTGAAGGGCTATGTAAAATACAAATATGGCAACTAGGCAATATGTGTTAAGAAGCATTAAAATGTTCATACATTTTGATCCCTTAATTCTATCCCTGGGAATTTATTCCAAATAAATAATTCAAAGAAGGAAAAAAT